TTCTCAAGGCCAATGTTTGAATCTGTATGGAGGACAGGTCTTATTTTCTTTTGACCCCCGAAATAAGCACTTGGCCTTATTTTTGGGGAGGTCTTATTATTTTTGAGGTGCAGGAGGCGGTGAGCGTGGTCACCTCATGGCTGCTGCTGCGTTCCAATATTTTCAGGGAGGGCTTATTTTTTGGGGAAGCCTTATTTTAGCACATGCACTCAAAAGCCCAATTGGGATTATTATCTGGGGAGATCTTATTTTCAGGGAAACAGGGTAGCTAAAAGAAAATCAGTGGCTCTGGGTGTCAGGGCCTCTCATATCTAGCAATTTCCATTGTTGCCTCAGGCAGAGTTGGTGCACACTCTGAACTCTTTTTAGATTTGCCTCTTAAGGAGCAGGTGGCAGTTGTGGCTGGGAGAGTCTTTGTATAAATATTTCATGTGCACTAGTTGTGCCTGTTCTTAGATCATAAGGCACACTCACAGCCATCCATGCCTTAGTCACCTCCTGAGTGGACTACTGCAACACACTACAACATACTGTATATGAGGCTACTGTTGAAAATCATTCAAAGCTTCAGCTGGTCCAGAATGAAACCACAGATTCAGATTTTGGATATACCAAAGTATGGCTACATAACACCTTTGCTATGTGAGCTATGCTAGTTTTCAAGTGCAATTCAAGGTGTTGGTCATCACCTACATAGCATGGAGCCTTATTGTTTGTCGGACTGCCTATCTGCAATGCAAAGGTATACTCTATGTCCCTTTAGTAAAGTAATAACATTGTCACCTGATGGGCCCTTGGAAGCATCTCTGCTATGGTGTTTATCTTGTACAACAGGATTCTGACAGATATACTATAAACAGCTCCAAACCTGTTGGCTTTCCAGAAGCCCCTGAAGATCTGACTTCTCTCCAAGGCACTGAGGCTAGGATGTTAATAGAGTTTGGGAATAGGTGTAGGTGATATGCTTGAATTAGATGTTTATCAGAGCCTCAACTCTTAATTAGTTTGAACAGTTATGGTTTTTATCTTTTTCATTGTCCATTGTTAGATGGCTGGCCCTATAAATTGGTTGAATAAATGCATGTTCCAAGGGACAGAAAAGGCCATCATATAACAATAAACAAATAAATATATTTTATACTAAACCACAAACAAATGTAAATGTAACCACACAACATAACAGAACAATGAATCAGGAACTCTCATTCAGCTGGGCCTGGTGGTCTTGAAGGCTTCCCTCAAGGTGAGTAGAGTTGAGTGTTGGGCCTGCAGTCATCTTTTCTTTTGGGTCTTTGGCCTGCCACCCTTTCTATTATTCTGCTATGCATTGTGGGAAATGGGGAGGGGGGATTGTACGTAGTCACAACAAAATTCTTTCTAGAAAGCCAAGGTCATCTTTTGTCTCTGCACCTCTGCACTTGACCGGAATTGGATAGGTGGAACTGCCAGCATGACAGTGGAAGATTAGACCATGTGATGGACTTGTGGATGTGGGGGCAAGATCTTGGACTTTCAACTGTGTGGGGAAACCCAGGAAGCCTTCAGATTCAGATTTTCCCAGATGTGCCAACGTGGCTCTCTTAATAAATTGGAACTTTGAGCAATACTTTGCTTTGGACTCTGATTTACTTTTGGATACTATTTGGAACCCTGACATTGAGCTTTTTTGCCTGTTTGAGAGGAGATTATAAACTGTACATAAAATGCGTAATAATTATTATTAATAATGGATATTGTGCTGTTTAATTATTTAAATAATTATTTACAAATTCCATGTGTCTAAATTAGTACCACTACTTGAGTGCTTTCCTAAGGATCTTGGCATCTTCTCTTACAAGCTCGATTAGAGGTGAATTGGGGTATCTGGTAACTAAATGATTTGAAAATACGTTCTTCCTTCTAGGTGTGAATGTCTCGGCCAATCAGGATGAAGAAACACACCATGAGACCTTCCAGATGCAGATTGACAAAGAAACCAAGAAGTGTATTTTCCATTCCAACACAGGCAACTACTGGACCTTGGTGGCACACGGAGGGATTCAAGCCATGGCTACTGAAATGTGAGTTGCACTGGGCAGCTTCATTTTGCTGACAGGTCCCTAAAGCAGGGATTGATAACCTATGCTTGGTGGACAGAATATGATTTAAAATAAATATATTTCCATGTCTGTCTGTGAGGCAGACATCACTATAGATCATTACCACCTCCTTGGGCAGCCATTTTGGTGAAGGCACTGTCAATCAAAGCAGCTAGTCTCCAGCAGTGACATGGTCTCTAGCCCCTAAGCATAAGAAAATTGCATAGTCCTACCCTAAATAATCAGGATTTCAGAAGAGTGTCCATTGCATGCACTAGGCATCTTAATGAAGAACTCATTTGGAGGAGAAATGGGCACCAGATTTAGTAAAGAGCTAAATTCATCAAAACAACAAAAATAACACTGCACCATCACAAAGCAGATTCTCTTTTTTGCAGACCCATAGAGTTAATGTGCCTGTGCAAAAGGGGAAAGCTTGTGCCATGATGGCAAGATGCTGCTTTTGGCATCTGCTCCCGCATTTATCTTTCTCTGCAGAGTTTGCATTTAGACAATTGCTGTTTCTCAAGAACATGTCCCTTCCTCCTTCAGCAGCAACTGTTCCTATGCAGTCTCTCTCTGCTTCTCTGCCCCTCCTCCCCTGTCCAAACCAATAACTTTGGCAAACATGTAAGAGTGGAATAGGTTGATAAATGTCCTATGCAAATGACTCCATCTCTTTGAAAACGCACACACCTCGTGCGGGAATCCATGGTTGGACATTTGGAGGGTGTGGGTGTTTTAAAAAAGTTATTCCTGTACAAAATATTCATCTGCTTCTACACAAATAACAGCCAGCCAGTTGGTGGAAGGTTAAAATAATTCAACTGCTTGATCAGAAGTAATTTCATAATTCTCTTCTGCAGAATCTAGTGTCATAGATTTTGCCTTGGACTTCATTGATTTTATTATTTGTTTGTATGCTTGATTAATTGATGGTTGTGAGACTCAGATCTACTGACAGTTGGGCAGCTTACAAATTTAATAAAGTATTAAATTTATTATAGTTTATCACACAGTCAGCCAGATGATCAGATTGGATTTGGCACTTTTATCCACCTATTGCAGGGGTGTCAAACTCAAGGCCTGTGGGCTGGATCTGGCCTGCAGGGTGCTTAGATCTGGCCTGCTGGGCCGCCCTAAACACAGCTAAGGTCCAGCCCGTGGTGCCTCTGCTAGAGAAAACAGAGCACAAGGGGGGGCCTCCGGTTTTGCTGGCAGAGGGCTGCAGGAGGCCCTCCCAAGCTCCGTTTTTACTTGCAGAGGATTGCAGGAGGCCATCCCAGCCAAAAATGGAGCTTGGGGAGCTGTTTTCGCTGGGCCATAGAGTGCTTGGGCCATAGGCGCCCCTGAGATGACTGACATCAAGCTGGCCGCACACACCCCTGGCCCACGCCCCCCCCCCAAGATTCAACACAACCCCAAATGAAATCAAGTTTGACACCCCTGACCTTTTGAGTCCTTCCCAAGGATCTGGGATAGGCAGGTGTTGCTGTTTTTATGGTGTTAAAGATATTATGGCAGAATGTAAATTGTTCCAAGAAAACCTGGGATTGAGTAATAGTGATCTTGTCATAACTAACATTATGGCTGGTTCGGAGAACCTCCAAATCCCACCCCTGGCTGGCCCCTCCAACCCCACCCCACCCCTGCCAGGAATTTCCATGCGGCCCATTTTGGATGCGAGGTAAGTGCAGGACCCGCGTGGAGGCTTGAGGAGGGAGAAAAACGGGCCTCCCGGAAGTTCCAGAAGGCCTCCGGAGCCCAGGGGAGGCAGTTTTTGCCCTCCCAGAGGCTCGAGGAAAGCCTCCAGAGCCTGGGGAAGGCGAAAATGCCCCTCCCCCCGCCATGGTGCAGGAAGCTGACTTGGCCACGCCCATCATGGCCACACCCACCCAGCAACCGGGCCGAGAATCCGTTGGTGAAATTTTTGAAGCCCACCCCTGAGTACAAATCCATGTGAGTATCTGAATCTATTTCTCTCACTTTCCACATTCCCCTGGGGAAAATAATATTTTCAGGAAGTTAATTTAATTTGGGGGGAAAACATGAGGGAAAAGAATAACATCTTTTCTCAGTGTCCTCGTTTCAATACAATAAAGAGCAAGCACCACCTTCTTGGTTGTTTTTAGCTGTTTTTAATTTTAGAATCTGGGCGATCCAACAACAGCTTCTCTGCCTTCTCCTCCTCCAACTGCGCCCTCACTTTCCCATTAACATGTGACACTTCTTTTAAGCAAGAACATTTAAGAACTTTCTAATCCAGGCAAGCATGAGCTCAAGGCTAAAACTGGACAAAAGTAGATTAGATTAAAATTAGAATATTTAACAGTGAGTGGGATTAACTCTTAGAACATATATGTAGACACTAAAGAAATATCCCCCCTGCCCTATTTTTCTTCAGTGACATGAATTCAAAGACAAGGGCCGGGATAGGATTTGGCAATAAAATGAAGCACTGAAGTTCCCTGATGTTCCTTGTAGAGACTTGTCACAACTAGGAAAATCCTATTTATGCCCCTGAATAAAGCCTGGATGCTTTTATGCTACAATTCAGTGGAACCGTGTCAAAGAAAAAGGAAAATATTCAGCAATACGTGAATATTGGATTCCACTGCTTTGGGTGGAATGTGCATTACAAATGTGTTTCCAGACCTTCATTTTTCATTTAGTACGGCAAATTCTCCATTCCACATACTCAGTCTATCGATTGCCAACTGTAGTGGAGAAGAATAGAATAGAATAGAATAGAATAGAATAGAATAGAATGGAATGGAATATAATAGGATAGAATAGAATAGAATAGAATAGAATAGAATAGAATAACCTTGGAGATCATCTAGTTCAACCACTTGCTCAAGCAGGAGACCCTACCATTCCAGACAAGTGGCTGTTCAGTCTCTTCTTGAAAGCATCAATTGATGGGGCACCCACAACTGCTGAAGGCAAGCCATTCCACTGGTTGATTGTTCTCACTATTAGGACATTTCTTCTTAGTTCTAGTTGCTTCTCTCCTTGATTAGTTTCCATCCATTGTTTCTTGTCTTGCCTTCTGGTGCTTTGGGAAAATTACTTACCGTATTTAGTAGAATATCTAATGCAGAGGATTAGTCAGACAGATTTGCTCTCCATGGGAAAACCTGCAAATCCAATGAGTTAGGGTAAGGTAAAGCTCAATAGTAATGCATCTAAGCCTTCAGGAAATGGTTGCAATAGAGCAGGGGCGTCAAACTCAAGGCCTGCGGGCCAGATTTGCTGCCCGGGATGTTTTAATGTGGCTTGCAGCGTCGGCCTGGAAATAGCAAATGAGTGGCCCAAAGTGCCTCTGGCTGCCAAAACGGGGAGGGGGATCCCATTTTGGCCAACAGGGTGCTGTAGCAGGTATTTGTCTCTCCCCCATCCCCCCAGGCAGCCCATTGAGGAGAACTACAATGCTGATCCGGCCCTTGAAGAAATCCAGTTTGACACCCCTTTGATTTACAAAGGCATAATAAATCTTTGTAAATACAATCCAAGGTACAATTTTTACAAATGTATCAAGATTCCAAAGATCTCCTTCCCATGTTGGGGGATGCTGTAGATATACTGTAAGTTGGCTTTATATGTGTAATAAACGTCGAACAGAAAGAATAAAATCTTTTGGAAGGAATGAATAGTTTCTCCTTTCTGATTCTCCCATCAATCCGTGCTCTTCCTTTCTACTTTGGTTTCCTCAGATCCGCCAGCACTATGTTCGATCTTGAATGGCGTGGTCGCCGTGTTGCCCTTAAAGCTAACAATGGCAAATACATCTGCACCAAGAAGAATGGGCAACTGGCAGCTGTCAGTGACAGAGTGGGTGAGTCTTATCTCTGGAATCTGGATCCTGAAGATGAAGCTCCCTGGGGGCTTTGTTTCAGAAGCCCAGTCCTTCTAGATCAAAAAAAGTAGGAAGCCGTTGTGAGAAATCTGTTGTCTTTTGGATACTGAAGGACCACAACATCTCTGACAATTGCCTTACTAACTAGAGTTTTAGTAGAGTGGTGCATTAGTCAAATCCATTCGTTTTCTACTGCTTTCATATTAAAAATGCCTTTGAAAGATGAATAATCAAACCAAATCTGGATATCAAATATTGAACACAACAGATTTCTCACAACGGCTTCCTACTTTTTTTGATCTAGAAGGACTGGGCTTCTGAAACAAAGCCCCCAGGGAGCTTCATCTTTTGTGGAATCTCAAAAATGGTAAAGCAGAATAAAGCCAGATAATCTAACAATATCTGAAAGTATGGTTGAAGTTTCTATATAGCTCTAATTACCATAGTAGCCAAAAATAAAATAAAAAGCAGAGTATAAATCTCGATCCCTCCAAATACATTGGACTACACTCTAATTATCGTTCTCTTTGTGCCCCACTGCAAGCAATAAACTTTGGGGCTTAGAAAAATCAAGAGGGAATGGAGGGAGCCGGAATAGATTCTGAAAAGGGTGTGTAATAGTGGAGGGCTAGATTGAAGAAAACTGAAATTTCCAAGGAAGTTGGAAGAAACTGAGTCTATTTCTAGGGATGCTAGCTGTGTTCAGCAGCATGTTAAGCATTATGTTACCTGTATATGCTTATTTTGAGTTAGCAATTATGGGAACCTTATCATTGAGTTGGTATACCCTGATCAGCCAGTTTTGAAGCCATAGTTAGCAAAGCAGATGTCCAGATCAGTTAGTAAGGAACAGGTAAATCAAATGAGACTTATCTGCTCAATATAGGCTGACAAGAGGACATCATTGTGTTCGTGAGCTGACTCTAGAACACTGTCAAGCTCTTATTGGTAAATAGTTATGCATACTGTATGTGAAAACTAGGGACATGGTGGCTCAGTGGCTAAGATGCTGAGCTTGTCGATCAGAAGGTTGGCAATTCAGCGGTTCGAATCCCTAGCGTCATGTAATGGAGTGAGCTCCTGTTACTTGTCACAGCTTCGGCCAACCTAGCAGTTTGAAAGCATGTAAAAATACAAGTATAAAAATAGGACCCACCTTAGGTGGGAAGGTAACAGCGTTCCGTGCTCCTTCACCGTTTATTCATGCCGGCACCATGACCACGGAGACGTCTTCGGACAGCACTAGCT